GTGCATGAAAATCATTTGAAAAGGGCGCCAGGGCTTTGGAGGGTTAGCTGCAACAGCTGCAATGTTTCCCTTCCGCCGCAGCCTGCCATCTGGCACCCTCTCCACTGCTGTACTTTTTCGCCCTGTACTCTCCTCTTTGCGCTCAGTTTCTCGTTGCCTTTTCACAGCCGCATTACGAAGGTGAGCGAGCCCTTAGGCTGAACATTTTCGACAGATTAACTCCTTTTCTCTTCACTGCTGGCCCATCTCTCACCAATAAGTACTCGCGTACAACACCACACTGGTTTGATCCTGGGGCATACCTTCAGTAGGTGGAAGTGTATTCCGAAAAAGCGATGGATGGATGAAGGAAAAATGCTGTGGTAATTCTATTAGAAGATGATGGAGCAATTTCTCCAAGCCCCTCATTATTCCTTGGAAAGCTTTAAGGATAAGATAATCGTTTTCCTGGAATGGACCTTCTTCGATGTAAAGTGTTATTGTAAAAACATCAGTCAACCGGAACTTTTCTTTTACTTACATCATCAAAAAAGAAAATGAGAAATCTATTCTACAAAACAAAGCAGAATCCCTAGCAGTTTACTAAACTTCTCGTTATAGCAACACGTTTTCACCATGGACTCGTAAGTACATATTTTCTGAGGAAATCAACGCGTTCCTCTCTTCTTTGCTGCTTCCAACATTTCGTCCTGGAGCACCTCCATAAGCTCACAGCGCTTGCGAGTTCGACCATCTAGGTCAAAGCTGAAGCACACCATGCCTCTCGTCGGTGCTAATCCGAAACAAGAGATCCTTGTTTGAGAACACTTACAAAACAGTTCCGTACTTCCAGTAGTTGTCTCGTGAACGTTCCCAATCCCATGGTGCTGCGTCATGTTTGCCTCCAGCTGAATAAAAAGCTCAGTCCAAAATTACTACGTACAGTAGCGGTCAAAAGTTTTCGCCGAAAAGTTTTTTCGTGCATTATTTTTTTCTCAATTAAACAGTGCCCTTCATGTATTTATAAGACGTACTTTTGAGCCTTGTCAACCACTACTTTACAACCTTGTCTACTGAAGAGTTCAGATATTTGAAGGAAAGGCTTCAACTAATTTCGGATCCTTCTCTAGGGAAGAAATGAAATGCACGAAAAGAGTTTCGGCGAACACTCCGCTACTCTATGTATTAGGGTGGTAAAAAAGTCCTGAGCCGTTTGACACTTTTTTGTTCTTTGCTTTTTTATTCCGCGTACAATGGAATCTACTCAACAATATAATCACCATTGTTACTCACTACAGAGTCCCACCTAATGGGCAGGTCAGCGACCCCCTTCTCCCAGAACTGAGCAGACTGAGAGTCAAAGAAATCGCTGACCGCTCTTTCAACGTCTTCAACTTTGGTGAATTTTTTCTTCGCTAGGAATGCCTTAAGGGGATGAAAGTAAGTGATAATCAGAGAGGGCAATGTCAGGGGAATAGGGTGGGTGGGGAACCGCGTCCCAGATCAGCTCTTCCAATTTTGCACGGGTCTCTTTAGCTATGTGGGGCCTGGCGTCATCGTGGAGTAGGTGGACAGAAGTTCGTCTCGGTCGTTTTTCTTGAACAGCGTCCGCTAGTTTCTAGAGCTGACTGGCGTAAATGCTGCCGGTAGCGGTATGTCTTTACGGGAGCATATCATAATACAGCATTCCTCACGAATCCCAGAGGTAGCAAAGGAGACAGCTTTTGGGGTGAAGGTCCGATTTTGCTTGTGTCGGCAGGCCCTCTCTTCGAGGGAGCCACACGGCACTGTGCTTGTTAGAATCGTAGAGGACCCCACTCTCATCTCTCGTAATCATGCCTTCCAAAAACTCCTTTCGGTGCGGGCAAAGAAGGAGAAACTGACAAATGGGTACCCGCCTGAACCGCGTGCTATCGGTCAAGACATGAGGAATCCATCGAGTCAGCACTTTCCTGTGGCGAGGGCGTGGAGGGGACCGAGGACTGTGGGATGGGTGCACCCGAGTCTTATCACAAGGCTGCGGGTGCTAACCTCCGGATCCTCTTCGACAGCGCCGAGAACGGTGGAGTCTTCCACTTTTGGTGGGCTTCCCAACCTTGTCTTTTCTTTGAAGCCGTGTCTCCTCCTTCGAAGCCTGCGAACCAGAGCTTGGCACTGATGATGGAAGTGGTGTCCCTTCCCAATGCGATGCTGATAATGTTGACGGTTCCCACTGCTCCTGTGCCGCAGCGCCATTCATTGAAGATGATCGCTCGAAAGTGCTCTTGTGGAATCGACATCATGATTAAAGTTAAAGAAGGCAACCCGGCAATATATACCTACTGCGGAGAAGTATGATCGACAACGATAGTCTATCACGTAGCAGATTCTAGGTATCGACCAATAAGCGAAAGTTCTGGAGCTTTCAAAAAATCGGCTCAGGACTTTCTTACCAACCTAATATATGTAGTAATGACGACCAACCTTTATTCATCCATACTTCAATTTTCGTGAAACTGTAATAGCCTGTCAGTACCATCCCAGTTATCAGGGTTGCAGCAAGAGCAATGAATGGGTAGACCTCATAGCAATGTCCAAGCCGTCGAAGCATAAACCTGAAACATTTGGTATTTAAAAGAGAAATGTGGATCGCATCAGTAACAGAGACTATTTGACCAGCGGTTGCAAACTCTTGATTCCCCTTTCAATGGAAATAATATCAGCAAAAATACTCTATTTATTTTACTTCTCTTTAGGTGTTAACTGCTGTTTTTGGCCGCAGTTCGCCTTGCGAATGTTTCACAAGAATGCTGAGTTGTGAACAAAACTTTCGCCCCAGGCGGGACTAGAACCCGCACCTCTCGCTTACCGGGCAAGTGCGCTACAAGTTACGCTACCAGGACACCATTTCTCCTCAACTCGGCTTTTAATCAACATCAAATCGGCTGACAAGCTATGCTAAGAATACCATGAAAAGTTGAGTAAGGATGAAAAGGTGCCGCAGCAACGTAACCTGTAGCGCACATGCCCGGTAAGGGAGAGGCGCTGGATCGAATCCTCTCTAGATCGAAAGTTTTGTTCACAACTCAGCATTCTTGTGAGACTCGATTCATTTTGACTCATAAAGCAAGGGTACATGTAATCCTCGATAAATCACGCGCGCCACCAGGTGAAGTTGCATTTTCTGGAAACTTCTTTGAAACATCAACGAAACCAGTAGGGCGCGCTGGCCTAACTAAAGAATTTCGACAGTTTTGGCGAGCCTGTAATAGTAGAGCTTGGACAAGGACTCTTGTCCTACACTCAGGGCCTGTTTAGCACGTAGTATGAAAGGGTTTCATACAGTTAGGAAATGGAATTGGAAAATAGAAAATCCGACTCTATTTTTCGACTCCGAAAGCAAATAGATCAAGAGGGAAGGAAAGACCCGAAATTCTCTTCGAGGAGGATTCCACGATAAGGTCGGAAGTCAAGGAGGAATATACCTAGTGGAAAGACAGGTGGGCTCCGTAAGGGTGGGGGACGATGCGCCTTTCCCCAGCGAACGGTATGTCCCCAGTAGCCTTGCAGTGCCGACCTCGCGCCGGTCCACTTCCACTGATTGGCCGACCCCCTCCATCGACCTTTACCGCTCTAGCAGCGCCTCAACGTTGGTGGTCAGCATCGATAAGAATCGCTCAACGCGCAAAGCAATTTGTTTACTATTGCTCAGGTTCTAAGCCGCTTATCCTTGTTTTTCTTCATCCCTGCAATTCTGACAATTTTTGCTTTGACCAGGTTGGTGGGGACCAACCGCCGGGACCTTCTTTCACTGCGTACGCTTTACGTCCTAGAATGACATGTTAAAACCTAACCGCACCTGGGTCTGTTGGTGATTGGTTTTCCGCCTCCCCTCCCCAAACATCCCCCTCCCCTCCCTCCACTCCCTCCAGCTGCCACTGCAGCACCATGTGGAATGAACGGAAGTGTGCTCAGTAGGTGTTTATATAGCCGTTGGGGTGTTAATCACAACTATCCCATTACAAAGCATTGTATCAACTTGCGAATGAAGTATGTAGTATCACTGACATTTCATTAATTCAAAATTTCCAGAAAAAAATCGACTGACGTCTTCGGTGTATCTCCTTGCAATGCCTTCATGCTAGCAGCCGTTTTCGGATCGCGAGAAAGATTTCGGCCATAGCTGAAGAAACCCTGAAACAGTCCACCTGACTGACGGAAAGCATACTGCTGGTGGCGAAAATGCTGTGGCCATTCCATTAATTTTTTGATGGACCGATTTACGAGCTAACCGCTAATTGCCTCATGCCATGAAATTTATCACCTGTTAATGTAGCTGCAGCCACACTTTGCGGCACGGGCAACGGGTTCGTACCTCATCATCCGAAAATAGAGCTCATCTGTAGGAGCCTCAGATGGTACAGATCACGCTCTACGAGGGCAACCCTCATCGGCGAGAGCAAGAGCAATGCTTGGCAGATGATCTTTCCAC